CGCGAAGACGCCGTCATCGTCGCCGGCGTGATCAGCATCGGCGCCGTCACTGGCTGCCCCGTCGTCGCGATCAGCATCGCCACCAGCATCGCTACTATCATCATCGTGTCTACCGTTGTCGACGTTGCCATGATAGCGCGCCCGCCCAAGCCGCTGACTCGCACTGAAGTTCCCGCTTGGACGTTCCGAGCGCTTGCCTCGGTCGCGCCAAACTAGCTGGCCGCTGCGCGCGCGAGCATGCGCGGGCTAGCGCGGCCGCAAAGATGCACCAGCCAACGCCCAGCACTCATCGCAATCGCTCCCGCATTAATTTGGCAAACCAAGTTGCGGGTGGGTGGGTGGGATGATTGCGCGAGCAGTGGAGCTGACAACTTAAAGTTCGGCAAGTGAGTTGCACCACGCAGATTGCACCACAGGTATTGCACAGCATCGACTCTCCCCCCCGTCATTGCTCCACATAGGTCGCCCAACATAGATTGCAAGACATAGGTTCTCTTGTCTTGAAAAAGAATTCGGGTCTACCCCTCCCCCCCCCCACCTGGGGGTGGGCAATTTACATTTTTCTCTGCCCCATCGCTCGTGTTATATATAAACTCGTACCACCCCAGCCAGGCCAAATTCGACCCCACCCCCACCGCCCTTTGCGAAAAACGCGATGCGCGCACACCCGTTTATCAAACATCGCAAATGTCCAAACATTTGTCGCAGAAGATAGGACGACGTGCACACGCGCGCGTCGTCGCGCGCGCATGTCAAACTTTCTCCAAAACAGTAGGTGTTGCAACTTGGCTTTGCAAATCAAAAAAGTATTCGCGCGCGCTCTTGCGATTTCTGAAGGAAAATATGGGTTGTTCAAAATGTTCATCACTTGCTACCAAACGGACCCTTCGCGCGCGCATGTCGAAATTTTTCGAGCGGTCCTGCGCGCGTGCTGGGGGGGGCGCGATCATAATCAACAAATGCATGTCGGCCGCTCGCGCCCGTCGGCCGCGCGCGCATGTCGAAATTCTGTACAGCACGTTCATCACCGACGCATGGACACCGTCATCGTCATTGGCGTAATCAGTACCAGCGCCGTCATTGACCTTACCGTCGCCTCGTCATGGTCATCGTCGCCACCTGTTTCGCGACAGTCGTCATCGTGTCTGCCGTTGTCGACGTCACCATGGTACCGCGCCCGTCCGACTCACCGAGTCGCATTGACGTGCCCGCGCGTCAACGCGGCCTGCGAAACGCGTTGGGAAGTCCCCAGTGGTCAGCGCCACCGCGGCCGCGTCGGTCGCGTCAGACTAGCTGGCCGCTCTGCGCGCGAACCTGCGCGCATTAGCGCGGCCGCAGCGACGCGCCAGCCGAAGCCAAACTGTCACCACAATGGCCGCCGCATGGGCTTTGCAAACCCAGTTGCGGGTGGGTGGGTGGGAGGATTGCGCGAGCAGTGGAATTGACAGCTTCAGATTCGAGAGGATGAATCGCATCACGTAAGCATGTTGTTCCCAGGTTGCAAACATTGTATATCTAGACCTGTGTAACCATGGGGATACATACGCATATACAAGTACATATACATATGTAAATATGTACGTATGTACATATATATGTATGTATGTGTATATGTATGTACACCTATAGTGTGTGTGCACATTGTAGATTACACATTACATAGCAAATCAATGTGCACCGCGTTGGTATATTTGCATGTATATATCTCGTTTGTTACGTATTGCACCACACACGTTGCTCTACGCAGATAACACCAAACACATGGATGAAACCATATACTATTTGGGGGACACGCTGGTACAATGCTGATACAAAAGAGAGTACGAGATATGCAAGGGACATCTGTGGGACAAGCTTCCGACTTTCTCCTGGGCAAGATACTTTTGGTTCTGTCCATCGGCCGGGCGGTTTTGGGGAGAACCAACTCTTCGGGACAGTGAAGGCGTACACTCCTGTTCGGCAGCATCTCGGAGCTTGCATGAAAACCCCCCGTTGTCTGAAACGGCCTGGTGAGTTCTTCTGGATATTTGACCAGTTAGAGAAGCAGGAACACCTCGAGAAAATCCAGCGTCTTACGCAGTCTCTGGCAAGTATCCGTGAGGGCTCTGGAAGGAAACGTCTCTGTCATGGCCTTCGCCGTTTCCAGAAGCGCCCAAAATTGCAGGCCCCTTTCGAGTGTCGGCAACACGTTCAAGGTGTCCGCAAGAAAGAGAAGCTGCTCTTAGACCCCGTTGTCATGGCCACGGCCTTCGCGTCCCACTGGGGCATTGTTCTTTCAGGCCAGGGAGGCGCTAGAAGAAAAGACCCTGGCGTACATCCGTCGTTTCACGGCCCACCTCGACATGAGTGCGATTCCGCCGCCCAGCACAAATGTGATGGCGGCCTTGCTGCGACGACGATATCACAGCGCACCTGACCCCGATGTTACATCCCTCGCACTGCTTGGCAGAAGACCCCGCGGGCTCTGGAGCTTCTCAGTGACATGATGTCCTGGTTCCTGTACGGTAGATTGGCCTTCTGGGGATTCAATCACGCTTCGGGCGTCTATATCCCAAATGGGCACAGGAGGACGACCAGGAGGGAGGATGATGTGTCCGAGAATACTCACAACTATGACCCCTAGGCCTTAAGAACACCAACAACAAACTGATCACGGCTACCGTGAGCTATCCCTTCTCGAAAATTTGGGGCCTACAAGCGAACATGTTCCCATGAGGGTTTACACAAGGGGCTCACACAGTTGAGCTCGACGCTTGCGCCATTAGCTACTCGATTATCCCTTCCGCAGGCACGGATCTGCCCGCATTCATCGCTTTCGATGTTGCACAGGCGTTCCCTTCGGTGTTTCACCAGTAGATGCGTCTCGTCCTGACTGCCCTGCACATGCCAGCCGCTAGACTGTATTCATCGAATTGATATACAATGGGGTGACGTGTTTCTCGCAACTGGAGGTGTCCCATGTTTATGTCTCCGATCCTGTCGAGCAGCCAGGGCTGCCCAGTCTCGGGGACTTGATTCGCTGTATGTGTGGAGCCCGCTGTAGGCGACCTCGACAAAATGAGTGAGAGCGAGAAGCGTGAAATACCTAGCTTCTGTGCTAACCATGATTGTACGGCCATCATCCAGTTGCAGTGAATCGTGTAACTACCGCATCCTTGGCCTCACGGCCTTGCTGTCGGCCCTGGATTTGAAGGCAGTCAAGTGTCAGGTTCTCCTTCTCGCAGGCCCCTTCTCGGAAGCCCTTAGGACCCTCTACCCCGTGAAGATCAAGGCCCTGGTTCTTCCTGGGCCTCGGTTCGGAGGCGCACTCCTGGATTGCCCCGCTCCGCAAATAAAATGGAGGCTCATATCTTTCGAGCTTCAGGAATTGGTGCGGCGAGTTGGATCTCTGCCAACCTCTTTTCATGTTGGGCGGCTTTTGGGATGCCGTACATCGTTCAGTTTGTGTCAACACCGAATGAGTTGGCAATCTTTGAGGCCGACATATTTTTCGAGTTGTCCACACGCCGTGGTGTTGGTTCTCTCAGAGTGCTTGGTATCGATGGTCTGAATGGGATGGTCTTCGCATCGTCTCTTGCCAAGCTTTCGGAAGACCCTTGCCTTCTGCCAGAGGATGCTGGAGATGTTCGAGGCATCCCATTCCCCCGCCAGGCTCTGAAACATACGCATCCCGGAATCTCATATACATCTATATATCTATATATATATAGAGAGAGAGACGTGCTATTATCCAAGACCCACATTACAGTCAACCCGCATAGTGAGGATGAGCAATTTTCCAGGGTTGCCCTTGCGTCCTTCCCCCTCGGCCCATCCTCGGCCGCTGTCGAAGGCAGCGCCACGCTCGCAAAGTGTCGGCATGGCCTTCCAAGGCCCTTGCATCCGTACCGCGCGTCCTCACTAGATAGGTTGACTGAACCGTGACGTGACGTCTAACAGGAAGGTTCTGCCGATGATTCTGCAGAAGCACAACCCGCTTGTTGGACCCTCTGCCCGAAGAGAGGCCTCGCATCCTTATACCGTGGGCCGGGGTGCAGTGCAGGCCGCCCCTTCCTCTCCCGCAGCGTCGTTCTCTCGTCTGCTGCGGCTCGGACTGTCTCGAACAACTGGCTGACTCAGCGTAGGTTCCAGCAGTCTGAGAATCGAATAAGAGAAAACGACATAAACATAAACTTGTGGCGATCCGTGCGGATTTCTTGGATCCGCGCTGGGCCCCCCCGGCGGCGCCTCCGGCGCCGCCCTGGCGCGCGGAGCGCGCCAGGGAGAGGGGTCCAGCGCAGATCCAAGAAATCCGCGCGGAGCGCCAAAGGTTTATGGTTATGCAGATGTTTCTTCTTCTATGTGTAGCTGCCTCCCGAAAGCGATTGAGAGGACAGCTTCACCCCCTATTAGAGTTGCCCCCTTTTCGTGGCCCTGCTGTGGGCCCTTAAGGGCCCTCTGACACCACATCCTCCGGATCGGTTCGGGAGTATATCTCCCTCGGGCCAAGAGTCGGCGGCGAGCGAGGGGGGGAAATGGGAAGGAGAAGGCCTTCTCAGAAGGCGGCGCGACTTCCCAGAAGCCATCGCGCCTTCTGAGAAGTTGTTCCGTATCTTCGGGGAAGGCTCAGGAAATGTCTCATAAGGCTGGGATATTTCCGAGCCTTCTGAGAAGGCCCGCCCCTTCTCACTTCTCCCCGGGCTCGCCGCCGACAAAACCCAGTTTGCGCGTCTCTGGCGCGCCTCTTTAGGCCGCGCGGCAGGAAGAGGAGGAGGAGGTGGAGGAAGAGGAGGAGGAGGAGGAGGAGGAGGAGGAGGAAGAGGAGGAGGAGGAAGAGGAAGAGGAGGAAGAGGAGGAGGAGGTGGAGGAGGAGGAGGAGGAGGAGGTCCATCCAGCCATCTGGATTCCTCTGCCGCGTCCCGCCCTCCACGGCGGAGGAGGGAGAGAAGGCGGGGACGTCGAGGAGTAGGAGCAGCACCGGCCGGAGCGGGCAGCGGCTCGGCTCCTTCCCGCGGCAGCAGGCGAAGGCCGTCGAGAGCAAGCTGCGCAACACCATGGGGGCGGCTCTCGAGGACCGTGGCCCGCGCCCGCGCAGCCTCCTCCAGATCTCGGTGGCAGGCTGGTCGCTCGACCGGGCACGGGGGCGTGCCGGTGACAGGTAAACGCACTCGTCCAGAGGCCAACACACACAATCGAAACGGGGAAGAGGATGAGGATGGAGGAGGAGGAGGAGGAGGAGGAGGAGGAGGAGGAGGAGGAGGAGGAGCTGACAGGCCCAGGTGACCCCAGGAGGCTCCAGCAGCGCCCAGAAGGCCGCAGGGATCTCCAGGAGAGGCCAGGCGGCGTCGGGCGCCCTCCCTCCCTGGCTGCGCGCGCGCCGCCTTGCTCTCTCACGCTCTCCGCCTGGCGTGAAGGCGGGCGTGTCCCTCTACAGGAGGAGTATTCAGAAATCGTCCCAAAATAGTCTGGGGACTTTTCTTTTTTGTTTAGGAGTAGTTTTGACTATTTTTTGATTTTTTCCTCGTCCAAAATTCGCCTGTAGGGGGACATGCCCGACCTAAGACTTAGGTCGGGCATGCCCCCCTACGCTACAGTCGGGGCCCTGAAGAAGGAACCCCTTTCGTTGGGGAGGGGCTCCGCGTTCCTGCAGTGTTTCGCGGCTTGCCTCAGCTGTCCCTTGTGTCTTCGGAAATCGAAGCTTGACTTATGGAAAAAAGGGGCCTCGCTCCTTATTTAGGGTTCCTTAGGTCAACGCCCCGACGCGGCCCGCCGCCGCCCCGCGCCGTTCGCGCGGGCGCGCGGCAGCGCCCGTGAATTCGTGGCATGACCACGCGGGTGTTCGCGCCCGCTCGAAGAGTTTTTTTTTTTTTTGAAAAAAAATAATAATAAAAAAATAATAATAATAATAATAATAATAATAATAATAATAATAATAATAATAATAATACAAAAACGCCCCGACGCTAAGCACGCCTGGCGTCTCCCCGAGCGCGACCTCCGCCCCGGCCCTCTCGGGGCCCTGCGCGGCCGCCCCGGGGCCCCCTCGTCGACCGCCTCGGGGCGCCTCCTCGGCCGCGCGTGGCTTTCTCGGCGATATTCTTGGCCGGCTCCCTCCTCTCCCTGGACTTATACGTCGGGCCTGTCCCCCTACAGGGGGGAGTGCTCAAAAGCAGTCGAAGCATAGTCTGGGGACGTTTCTTTTCGTTGTTTTTTTTTGTGTGTTTTTTTTATATTGCGATTGTTGAATATGTTTTGAATCTGTTTTGACCATGTTAAGTTTTTGCCCCAGATCCCCCTGTAGGAGGGCACGCCCGACCGAACCCTGGACCTCTGTCTCGGCCGCCGGCCGAGGGCGTCAAGGCGTCGTGAAGCCCGTCGCCGGCAGCCGCAGGAGGCCCTCCTGGTCCAGCTCTGGGCCCCCTCGGCGGGCATCTCGGGCCTTTTGTCGGGTACGCCCAGGACCCCAGGTACCCAGACATCGGGCGTCTCGAAAAAGTCGAGACGGCGGTTTTTCTGGGTTTTCGGCCTCTCGAGGCCCTCGCCGGGCTTCGGGACCGTCAAAAAACGGTTCGGGCCGATGAACCGTTCCCGGGGAAGTGGTCGGGAGGTCGGGGGCCCCGTGTCTCGAAAAGATCGAGACGTCGGATGTCTGGGTGAGGGGACCCGGTCAGTGGTAGGGCCCTGGAGCCCCTGCATTGGCCAGAATCGCTGAACCGGGTCTGCCGTAGCTGGTGTTTTCTCGGGTGACGGCAGCTCCAGTGAGCGGAGCGGGGCGGGGGGGGGCGTTCCCAGTGCATGTCGTTAGACCAGGTCGCACGAAGCCCAGTTTTGCCGACGCCCGATTCTCGCCGAGAAGCCCGACAGATGGGTATCCGTTTTTCTAGCAAGCCTCGGATTGCGTGCAGCCGAATCCCCATAACACTATAGTGTTTTTGTGTCCGGCCGTGGGGAACGGGGGCGGGCGCGCCCGGCGCGAATTTCGCCCAAGTGCAGTAACGCTCTTGTTGGAACAGGAGTAGAGTCAAGATAGCCTTCAACTTCTCGGTGCTCTCAGTGGCCCGTGGTGGGCCTTGGAAGGGAAGGCCGCAAGCGAAGCGAATTCCGGCGGAAGAGCGCAGGCACCGAGACACACTGCACACGGTAGGGGAGAGTATTGCTTTTTGGCCTCTCGACGACCTCATGCAGAGCGTCTTGAGGGTGTCCTGGAGCCTCTTGGGGTACATGTGGCGACTCTTGGGAGCTGCCGGGTGCACAGTGAGCGATGTTGGGCCATATTTCAGGAGGGAAAAAACACACAGACACAATTGATCGTCTATCCCCCAGAAAAGATGGGAAGATATGTGACGTGGGGGGGGGGGGCAGACGAAAACCCCGAAAATAGTGGAAAATGGGGGGAATCTTCTTATTTGCGTGCATTGATGTGTGTGTCCCTGGGGCCCCTTCAATCTTGGCGGCCTGGGTGGCCCCCCCCGGCCGTCCGGGGAGCCGCGGAGGGCCCCGGGGGGGCCGCCGGGAGGGCGTCGGCACGTCCAGGAGGCCTCGGGATGGGGCGGGCGGTGCGTGCGGCTCTGCGTATGGGGAGAGGGGTCGACACACGCAGACACACCCCACGGGCACACAGACTTCGGGTCGGGCGAGAGGGGGGGGATTGGGGAAGGGGGGGTTACGAAACTTGCTGCGTGCAGCTGGTTTCGGCCGCACCGAAGGGCCAATTCCTCGATGCACGGCCGCTCCCGGCGCCTCCGGCGCCGGGAGGCGCCGGGAAAATCAGCTACGCGAGCTGATTCTCACCCCCCCCCCTTTGCTACCCCCCCCTTTCGCCCGACCCGAGCAGAGACAGGGGGGAGGTAGAAGGATGGAGCACGAGGGAGATTGGCACGACAGGGGGCGAGGAGCAGAAAGCAAGCGGCAAAGCCAGACGGGCGGGGCGAGCGGGAGGGCCTTCACAGGCGGGTCGGACGGGCGAGCACAGGCGTCCAGGCGGAGCGGGCAGGTCGCTGAACCGTCCCTCTTCGGGAGAGGGAAAGAAGCACACAGACACAATTAATCGTCGATCCCAAGCAAAATATAAGAAAATATGGGAAGTGGGGGGGAAGACAGGAACCCAGAACATGTGGGGAAATATGGGGAGAATTGTTTTCTTTGTGTGCATTTCTTTGTGTATCCTGGGGCCCCTTCAGGGGCGGAGGGAAGATGGACATCGGCTTGGCAAGGCTCTCAGGAGCCCTGCCGGGCAGCACCTGACATTTCATGTATGACGCCTCAGCGTGCCAGGGGGCGCGGTGGCGCATTCCTCTTCCTCCTCCTTCATCCCTTCCTCCTCCTCCTCCTCCTCCTCCTCCTCCTCCTCCTCCTCCTCCTCCTCCTCCTCGGTATTCGGTCAGGAGCGTGTGGGATCCACGGGGCTCGGGAAATCATTTCTGTGACCACAGGTGCCATCCCGGTTCCAGCTGTAAAAATGTCTAGCCTCGGTAATGGCCCATCGGCTGGCAACGCGCACATGGTGGTGGACACTGTAGGCTTGACCGAGGTTGAGGGTAAAGCACATGCGCCCTGCCTGCAGGTCCGTTTCTCGGAGATTCGTCCTTTTCGTGAGTACGACAGCTGCCACGATGGTAGGGGGGCTCGACGGGTATATTTCTGATTCTTCGGCATCTGATAGCTCGACTGGGTCATTCTAACTCAATTGTCACAGTGTCACCCTTTTTCTCCTCCTCTAACTGGGGTTGCTGGTGGAGTCTACCGTCCGTCCACTCCACTCACGCTCTGTATTTGGAACACTCGTGCTCCTGCGTCTATCGCATCCCCGTCTCTCAGAGCAAGTTCGCGGCTTCAGCAGGCTAAGAGATTGCGTGAACGGTACCATGTTGAATGTTTCCCGGAAGTTCATAGTTCCAGGGCCGACTTGGTCATGTTAGCTGACGAGATGCGCACAGGTACATTGTATGGCAGTTTTATGGGTGATAGGGCGGCTGGTGGTGTTGTCACCTTTCTCTAATGATCTAGTCGTTTTGCTGCTCGCAAATTGAAGGGAAGGTTCTCTTACTGCGATGCTCGGGGCCTGCTGGGGACCTTACCATCGTGAACGTTCATATGCCCAACACATGCGACCACATCAGCATGTATACGCAGTATTTGAAGAATGTGCTTGATTGATTACCCCCTGCAGCCCACAGCATGGTGTTCGTAGCTGGTGCTTGGAACTTCGCTCATGTGTGGAGTGGGAGGTCTTGGCAGGAGGTGAGTTCGGTCCAGGGGGCCGGTTCCAGCGTGACGCTTTTCACGACGACGGAAAGTCATGGTGTGAGAAATGTCATCCCGACCCCACTCGCAGGGACACGGCGGCGAGCTTTTGGGGGTTCTCCCGGCCAGATGGGGTCTACACCGTTCTCCCTGCCGGGATTGTCAATGGCACGGTCGCCACTTCTTGTGCTGTAGGGGCTTTGACCCACATCCTCCTACTCCTCCTCCCCTTCCTCCTCCTCTTGATGGTTGTCACTTCTTGTGCTATAGGGGCTTTGGCCCACATCCCTGTCGCCATCACGATTGCCAGCCCCGAGTATGGATCAGCCAGCATTCATCGTGTAGGCGGATAGTCTTCGAGCAGTCGAGAGAGCTCACGCTATCTGAGGACTTGACGGAGCGAGTTCGGAGGGTGAGAGCGATTTTCGGCGCGGTGGCGACTGAGTTTCGGCAGTCTCTCAAGAGTCGACAGGCATCGATTGGTGCGGAGTGGCTCCACCTTCAATTCATGGCATGCCGAGGGTGGAGGGGACAGTAGTGGTATTTTCTGCGCCGTGCGCTGCTATGATTGTCTCTTCTCCTTCTTTGACGATGACCGTGGCCCTCCTGGGCCCGATGCGGGGACTGGGCCGTGATTTTGCTGCAGGTGGGTTGATCGACGCGTCTCTTTAGACCAGTGACCGCCGCCGATTTGGCACTGCGCTACCTCCGCCCCAGGTATGTCATGCGCGTCTGAGGCTGCTGGCTGGGCGGCACGAGAAGGTGGCTGCTGCTTTTGTTTGTGACCGTTCCCGACCATCGGTGCATTGCCACCCGGTTCTGTGCAGTTCGGGGTCCGCTGGATCTTGGTACCCGTCTCGAGCTCGGCTCCTCTCCCGAACTCCGGACGCCCGCTCGCCGCGGTGATGATATGCGTCGGGCCTGCCGCGGCCCAGGGCCCCCCTTCTCCTCTCCAGGGCTGCGGGGGCAGCAGCAGCCGCTCCGGTAGGTTCCTTCTAGCGAGGCGCCGGTGGCCTGGCACCACGCCGCGCCCCCCTGGCCCTTGGCGGAGCCTCTTCGTCGTTCAGAGCGTCTGGGGCTCCGCCCGATCTCCCGTCCGCTGCCTGAGCTTGCCCTGGCCTGCTGTGTCTTCTGCTGTGCTGCGCATTGCCTCGTCCGCGGGTCCTTGCACCAGTGCCCTTGTTCACAGGCCCTCGGGGCTGCAGCTGCCCGAAGGCAGCTGCTCTTCCTTGCGTCGCTGAGTCTCGTTGATTTTGGGCGTTGGCCTCCCGGGCGCGCTGTGCTCGGTGGTCCTGTGTCCCATGGCAGAAGTTGGATCATGGATCCCATTTTATGTCCTTTTCCGCCCCTGCCTTGCCGCCGACCCCCGCCCCGTGACTGCCTCTGAAATCCCCCGCTGCGCCTTTCTGGATGGGAGCGTGTCTCACAGTTTCAGACCGCCTCGCACCTGGGCCCGCGGATGCGTTCGGATCCCTCCGAGGCCCCTCCCCGCCCGAGGCACGGGTGGGAATGGCCAGCGCAGGCGTCATCCCTTGTGGGGTCTGGACTCTGTCCCCCCCCAGTGTCGAGTGCGCCCCCCCGCCTTCGGTCGTGGATTCCCGCCACTTGCGTTGGCGGGCGGTCCTGCCTCGATGCCCGCGCGCGCGAGGCACCTCGGTGTCCTCGTGCTGTGTTTGGAGCTGGCTTCGCTGCCGGGGATCAGCGGCCAGTGCCCTGCCTTCCTGTCCTCTCCTCCTGCTGCTGCCTCCTCCTCTCTCCTCCTGCATGGCTGGCGCGTGCCTGCGTGCCATCTGGCTACTGACCACGGAACAAGGAGTTGTTGTGTGTGTGTGTCGCCTGCTGCTTGGACAAAGAAACTCCTCCTCCTCCACCACCTCCTCCTCCTCCTCCTTCTCCTCCCCCTCCTCCTCCTCCTCTTCCTCCTCCTCCTCATCCTCCTCCTCCTCTCCCTTCTCGTCCTCCTCATCCTTCTACCTCTTCATTCTCTCACTCTTGCTCCTGGTCCCCCTCCCCGCCCTCCCTTTCCGCACTCCCTCCTCCTTCCTTCCCCTCGCCCCCTCCGTTCCTCCGCCGGGTGACCAGAGGAGAGGAAGAAGGTATACAAGGCACTGCTCCTCGAGTACCATCCCGACAAGAACAGCGACCCGGGTGCTAAGGAGGTGGGCCCATCCATCGTTTTCTTTCCGATTCGCCTCTTCTTCTTTTCTCTCGCTCTCTCTCTCTCTCTCTCTCTCTCTATATATATATATATCCTTGTTTCTCTCTGTCTCTCTCTCTCTCTCTCTTTCTGTATGTATCTGCATATTCCTTCTACCTACCTATCAAATTACAAGGAAAAACCCGGCATGTCACCGACCCCCCCCCCCACATGGACCCCACATGAACCCCACAGGTCCCACAGAGAGCCCCACAATGCTTCGAGGCGGCCCAAAATACCCCGAAGAGAGCGACACGAGGCCTACATCGGGAGCCCAAGACAGCAGAAGGCACTTCCGAGACGTCCTCTGCAAGGCCCAAGAGGCCCCAAGACGGCCCCAGAGTGCTCCAACAGGACCAAACATGGGCTCAAGACGGCCCAGGATGCCCCCGCAAAGACTTCCAATACGGCCTCAGCAGGCCAAAAACCTTGCTTTCCATTGGTTTTTGAACGACTCTGTGCTTCTCGCCTTTTCTGGCCACGAACGGCCCAAGAATGGTCTGCGAGCTTCCGAGGTCGCCCCGAGATGGCCTCCAGGCGGCCCAATGGGGCCCCAAGATGGGCCAATAAAGCGCCAAGAAAGCCAGGGAGCGCCCAAAAGACCCCTAAAAGACCTCCAAGAGGGCCCCAACAGAGCCACGGGATGCTTCAGAGAGGGCCCGAGAGAGCCCCAACACGGCCCCAGGACGGCCCAAGCCCCCCCAGACAGCCCACGAGGGCCCCAGGACAGCCCAAGAAGGCCCTCCGATGGTATACAAAAGCACCAACAGGAGCTCCACTCAGTCTTAGAGCCGTCAAATTCATTACACTCTGATTGACCTGAGCCGCCGTCCTTGGCTCGGCTGGCCCGCGCGCCGAATGGGCCCGCGTGGCAGAGAAGGAAAAGGAGCAGGAGGCGGGACGGAGGAGAAAAAGGAGGAAGAGGAAGGAACGGTGAGGATTGCGAGAAACAGGAGGGGCCCCAGGAAGACGGAAGGAGGGCACGGAGGAGCAGGAGGAGGGGAGGGCAAACGGCGGAAACAGAAGACAGCTTTCATTGGGCCCCGTGCTCTCGCCGAGGCGCCGGCCACATCTCTCATTCAATATCGTGTTGCCGCTTCGCTCGCGGGACTCCCAGCCTCTACCAGGTCAGCATCCCGTCCTCCAGCATGCGGCCGCCGACTTTCCTCTCAATTCTTGACGCTTCGCGTATCCCCACCAGCTCGGGCACGGTGATGTGGTGTCCACCCGTGATTGGGCACTGTCGACTCGCCAGCGAGCACATGGTGCTCCGTGAGTGAGGCCACCTGCTTTTCTACCCCTCCTTCGTTCTTCTGCCGCCTCGCTCCTCCTTTCTCGCCGTTTTCCCCTCGCCCTGCTCGTCGGCGGGCGTCCTCGTGCGGGTGCAACGTCGCCACGCGCGGCTCGCTTGCTCGTTTCCATCAATTTGTTTTGCATGTGCACTAATTATCTGGCTCTGTGCCCCAGTTTGCCTGATTAACACGCCCTCGGGACTTTTCCTTGCGGGCCGCAGAACAAAAAAGTATCCCCACCAGCCCGTCCAGAATTGATTGCCAGCTTTCCCGAGGCCTGTTGGAGGCTATCCTGAGCCATGCTCGGCTAGAGGCTGTCGGAAGCTATTATGAGCCATGCTCGGCTATGTCGGGCCATATTCAGGCTGTCTTGAGGCCTCTTGGAGATCTGTCGGAGGCTATCTTGAGCCATGCTTGGCTATCTTGGGCCATTTTGGAAGCCATCTTGGGCTATCTAGGGCTCTCTTGGAGCCATCTTGGGCCAAAAAGGGCGGGGTAGAGAATCTTCAGGAGAGGCTGGGAGGCTTCTCGGGGCCGTCTTGGGCCCCATTGTTCAAAAAGAGCGGGGGTCCTCAAACCAGGTCCCCCCTCGGAGGCTCTCAAACGGCGTCTTTGGGACGTGTTGGAGCGCTCTTTGGAGGCCTCTTGGGCGATCTTGGGGCCGTCTTGGGCCTTGGCTCGAAGGGCACTTGAATCCGTCTTGAGGACTCTTGGAGGTGTGTCGGAGGCTATCTTGACCCATCTTGAGGTATCTTGGGCCATCTTGGAGGCCATCTTGCGACTTGGAGCGCCTCTTGGAGCCATCTTGAGCCGTCTTGGACGCTCTAACGCTTCCATCCCCCCCCCTCCAGGTCCAGGGGAAGGTTACCCCTCCCCCGAGCAAGGGAAGGAAGGGGAAGAGAGAAGACCAAACTCGTTATACCACCGTAGCCCTAAAGGGCTGGTGGGACTTCCACCTATAGACTTCCAGCCTCCATCAGCTCAGCACTCCGACCTCTAGCGTCCGGCATCCGACCTTCCACCTTCACCTCCACTCAAGCGTCCACCAACGCTGCGCCCTGAGCCCCGCCCCGGGCGCTACCGCGCACTCGCCTCGCCTCGCCTCCGCTCGCACAATTCCCACACACCTCATTGAACAATTGTGTTCTCGCCCGCGCCCAGAAACATCGTAGGTGCAAGGATCAAGATTAGAAGGCGAAGCGCAGCGAGCCTTCAAATCTTGTCTATATATATGTATGTATGTATATATATATGTTTCTTTCTCCTGCCAGAGCAGTCGCCAGAGGCTGATGGGTTCCGGCCGCCGTTGCCTTGCTCCTTCTTCCTTCCCCATCAATTGCATCACTGTCGTACGAGGCTGCCGCCAAAGAACAGAGCAGCGCTGCTCTCCCGAGCGGCCCCGTGCCTATCCAGCCTGTCGACACGGGCCTCCTGCTCCTGCTCCTCCTCCTCCTCCTCCTCCTCCTCCTCCTCTTCCTCCTCCTCCTCCTCTTCCTCCTCCTCCTCCGTTGCCTTGCTCCTTCTTCCTTCCCCATCAATTGCATCACTGTCGTACGAGGCTGCCGCCAAAGAACAGAGCAGCGCTGCTCTCCCGAGCGGCCCCGTGCCTATCCAGCCTGTCGACACGGGCCTCCTGCTCCTGCTCCTCCTCCTCCTCCTCCTCCTCCTTTTTTTTTATCTTTCCATTTTTTTCCTTTTTAGTTTTTTTCTTCCTCATCCTCATCCTCCTCCTCCGCCTCCTCCTCCTCCCTCGTCCTCCTCCTATCTCCTCTCCTCTCTCTTCTATCTCTCCTCTCCTCTGCTCTTATTCCTTTTCTCCTCCGCCTCCTCCTCTCCGTGGCCCGTGTCCAGGGGAGGTCCGTTTCCAGACTGCCACAGCCCGCGGCGCGTGCCTCAGGGCTGGCGGCCCGGAGGCCCGAGCTGGTTGGGCCGGGGCATCGGCCAGGAGGAGGAGGAGGAGGAGGAGGAGGGGAGGGTAAGGAGGAGGAGGAGGTGGAGGAGGGAGGAGGAGGAGGAGGAGGAGGGGAGGGCGGAGAGGAAGAGGACGAGGAGAGGAGGGGAGGAGGAGGAGGAGGAGGAGGGAGGAGGAGGGGAGGGGGGAGGGGAGCAGGAGGGAGGAGGAGGAGGAGGAGGAGGAGGAGGAGGAGGGGGAGGAGGCCGAGGAGGAGCGGGAGGAGGAGGAGGAGGAGGAGGTGGAGGAGGAGGAGGAGGGCGGAGGAGAGGAGGAGGGGGAGGAGGGGCGAAGGAGGGGGAGGGGCAGGAGGAGGAGGAGGAGGAGGAGGAGGGGAGGAGGAGGAGGAGGAGGAGGAGGGAGGGGAGGAGGAGGAGAGGAGGAGGAGTAGGAGGGGCGGAGGAGGAGGAGGAGGAGGAGGAGGAGTTGGAGGAGGAGGAGGAGGAGGAGGAGGAGGAGGAAGGGGAGGAGGAGGAGGAGGAGGATCGTCTCGGCTGTCGTTTAAGGCACGGGTAAAGTGTTACCGTTTCGTGTCCTAACAAAAGGGAACATGACATGCTCAACCGCATGGCAATGTGCATCCTCTGCTGGTGTTCGTGCTCTCCCCGTTGCACTGTGCTTCTTTTCTCCCGCACACTATGCAATGTCTGCAACGTGCTACATGGCGTATTACAATTGCATTGTTGGCAATGCTCAACAAGAGTGTCAACATGATGCTACCATTGTGACAAACACAACTACCAGGATAGCCACTTCACATGTGCTCCGCGAGGTCCTCCAGCCCCGCGAAATATGCGCGGCGACGCGCCCTTTCAGAGGCTCCCAGGCTCACGGTAGCCACCCTGGCATGTTATCCCAGCGGGGACGGGATTCTACCACAAGTGGGCCCCCGTCCTCCATGCGCCCGGACAGGCAGCGGCTGTGTTTGGCAACGTGCCAGAATTCGCCTGAATGCAACTCGATCGTGGCCGTTGCAATCACGACGCACCGGGTGCCCGGCGACCGCACACAGAACTCCGTACCAGGTAACGGATCTGGCGGGCTGTTGGCCCCACGATTGTGAAGCCCGTTTGATTACCCTTCTCTCATTCCCCCTCAACAGGAGGGCCGCCCCACGACTGTGAGTCCTTATGATATCCAATCTCTTATCCTTTTACTTTCGTTGTCTTTTCCGTGTCCTCCGAATGTACGGCCGGCTTCGCAGTAGTCACCACGGCCCCAGAGAGGCGCGCACTCGAACACCCGCCCCCCCTACCCAGAGCGCACGAGAGAAGCACACGAAACAAAAGCACGCAAGAGCGGGAACGCGTGCAAGCCGGAGGTAAGGAACAGAGAAGGACAGGGAGGATAACCAGGACAAGGAAGGAGGATGAGGAGGCTGAGGAGGAGGAACACGAGCAGCACTAGGAGGAGGAGGAGGAGGAGGAGGAGGAGGAGGAGGAGGAAGAGGAGGAGGCAAACACCGACGCCGAAAGCAACACCCCCCCTCCGCCGCACGCTCCCAGACAGGTGATCGCGAACAGCGAGATGCGGGAGGCGACGATGGAGCCATCTATCTATACTAAAATGCCGGGTAGTCCGCGGGCCACAGCGGCCATTTGCTGCACCCTCGCCGGGCCCTCGGGGCCGGCGCTGCGGCGGCTCCAAGAGCCCAAAACACACCCCCGAGAGGCTCCCAGCAGGCCGCAGTGACGCGCCCAACAGGCTCCCAAGATGCCCGCAAGGCCTCCGCAGGAGTCTCTACGAACCTCCCCCCCCCCCAGATGGATTGACAATTCCTGCTTCCTGGAAGCCCCGCCTGATTGGCAAAAACCACACCCCACACCTCTCGGGACACCTCTCGCCTGGGAGGGGGTGCCCAAATCTTTCTCTGGAGCGAGACGCCAACCTCCAGGAACGCGTTTTCTAAAACCCCTATCGCACCACGCGTGTCCCAAGAGGTGTGGGGTCTGTTTTTTCCCATGCAGATGGCTTTCTCTTCCTCGACCACCTCCTCCTGGCTGCCCCGCCCCCTCAGGCACATCGCTCCGACTTGCTCTCGGGCTGCTGCCCGTGCTGCCAGATCCGCCGCTGCACCTGCTGCTGCAAACGTTGCCCTGGGCGCCGACAGAACCATCAAGCACACAGCTCGCCCTGCAGCACTGCGCAGCAGCAGGCGCGCACTCAATATTCTGGCACTCGTGGACGGTAGTCCACAGGCCAGCCCTAGTTATATCCCAAAGCTTATCCTTTTACTTACGCTGACGCCTGTCCCCCCACTAATAAGTGGCAATGCATCTCCCCCCCCCATCCCCCTCAGGGTTGCGATGCCGGCTCACCCCCGTCACCCAATGCCCCTCCAAGTGGGATCTACTACTAAGCCGTGCCCCGACTGCTATTACTCGGGTATTCTGTAGTCTACCTACGGATGCCAACCAGGCGAAACACGCACTACTACTGTGAAGTCCGTTATATGGAATGCGCCGCCGTCCTCCTTCTGGAGGGGGGCCGCCCCGCGACTGTGAAACCCGCTTAATTACCCTACTCTCATCCTCCCTCAACAGGAGGGCCGCCCCACGACTGTGAAGCCCGCTTAACTACCCTCATCCTCCCTCAACAGGAGGGCCGCCCCACGACTGTGAAGCCTTACTATATCCCAAATATTATCCTTTTACTTACGCTGACGCCTGCCCCCCCCACCAACATTCAGGCTCTGCTGTGCTGGATCGTGCTTCACATAATATGGAATGCGCCACCGTCCTCCTTCTGGAGGGGGGCCGCCCCGCGACTGTGAAGCCCGTTTAACTATCCTACTCTCATCCTCCCTCAACAGGAGGGCTGCCCCACGACTGTGAAGCCCTATTGAACCCCACTCTCATCCTCCCTCAACAGGAGGGCCGCCCCACGACTGTGAAACCCTAACATTGCTTATCCCGTTGCCTCTACGGTCACGTGTATCCCCGCGACTAGATAGCAATACCTACTCGGCGGAACCCTTCCCCTACTATCGCTCTCCATGCGACGATGGCGGCGGGGGCGACGACATATTTTCCACCCGCTGCATTGGTGCAGTCTCACAATGCGGGTAGGAGCCCCTTTCCGCCTTTACAGAAAGTCTTGCAAGGGCACTATTTCGTCAAGGACTGCTGCGTTACCGCGCCTGTGGGACGGGTGCTGCCCATTGCGGGCGCGCTTTAAATTTGACCGGGCGTGGTCACTGTTGGGGCGATTATAGCAGCGCGCGCCGAGCTTGTCCACCCGCGCTCCTTCCGATATGCAGCCGCACTTCATGCAAACAAACAGATTGCCGTCTGGCGTGGCGGTCGCGAAAATCGCGTGCCCCTTTGGCTCAGCAGCAATTGCGCTGAGCACCCGATTGTCTCCGGGGCACTGGAAATCCAAGAACTGGGGATCGCGCGGCGTGCGTCTGAGGCACTTCTGGCACGCCCACTTCCTACGCACCCATTTGAATTGATGCCCATTTGTCAGAGGCAGTGGCGGGAATTGGGGGCCTCGCCTGCGCGAGCTCTGGATCTCGGCTGCGCTCGCCGGCTGAGCCTCAACTCGGGGGGGAGGTGGAGGTAGGAGCGGGGCATGGGCTCCCGCTGGGGCATTCGTCGGTGGCTCAGGCAGTGCCTCTTTGGCCGCCGACGCGCCCGTCTGGAAGCCTGGGTTCCGCCTGTCCTTGTGGTAGGCTTTCCTGAGCTTCTTCGATGGCGCCTGCCTGGGGTATAGTAGCAACCCCTTAGCCGCGTAGCAAGGATACCGCTTCAAAGTTGCGGCGTTCTCACTGTACTTCTGGCGCTCATCAAGCGATGGCTGTGCGAGTAGGGGGGCGCCCATTTTCGCCAATTTGTTTGCGAAATCGTTGCCCTTGGCCAAATGCCAATCCCTCGGCTGCGGTTCGAGCGTGTCAGCATCAACGTGCGCTGCGACCTTTTGGATGGTAAATGCCCTTCCCCAGGCTGGGGATGACCTTATCTTAATTCGCAGTCCGGCGTAAAAGTGGTGTCTTGAGACAACTTGGTCCCGAGGCGCCGTGGCAAGCTGCGCCCCCCTCCAAAAAAAAATCAGAGTGGATGGCGTTAGCCTCTGGGCAATGCTCCATGCATGCTAGAACTGCCACGTGCTCCGCTGCCGGTGATGTCTGGGGGTATTGGTCGCCCACCGACCCCCGCAAAGCCGCGTAAAGGCCCCCCCCGGCAGTGAGCTTAATGACCGCCCATCCTGCCACGTGGAACTCCTCGGGCCCTTCCTTGAGGCATGAGCCGTCAGCGAAGACTTCTCCCCTGAAGGCGTCGCGGATACTCGCCGAGGAGTCTACGCAACGGAACTTGTAGGGTACTGTACCCGTGCCCCTGGGAGGTTGCACTGAGAATCCTGGCAATTCTTAGAAGCCGCAGGCCAATGGAAAATTGCGGTGCTTGTCGTGGAGGATGTCGATGTCTGCTGGCTGCAGCATTTCCTCACGAAGGGGAGCTGTGATCGGGCAGCGGTGCAGCCTGTGCGACAGATCATCTGACTCAAATCCGCACTGGCATCTGGAGGAGGCATCGTGCCCTGCCTGCTGGAGTCTCTTGCCTGTCCAGATGGATTGGCAGAGGAATGACAAGAGTATGCCCGCTTCTTTCTTGTCGGTCCGGCCTCGAATGACCTGGCGGGCGACCGACATGTCGAGGCGAGCCTCCGGCTCCAGCCCCATTTTCTTGGCGACCGTTGACAAACTTGCCATGCAGCGCTCATTTTTTTTCCAGGAACTTAGGTGAGAAAGTGGTAAGCGGCCAGAGATGCCCATCAGCATCTTTAAAAATCAGCGCAGTGTGAAACTCCCACCGAATGCGGCGCAATGACAAAATCGCCGCCGCCAACGGCCCTCTGACATCGCCCCAGTCTTTTGGCGGATTTGCCAACACGGGGGCTGCCAGCTCCAGCAGCCGGGGCATTGGGAAATGATTGCCCTCTGACCTGTCCGTGCTGGCTCTCCACGCAAGTTTGGTCCAAAGGGGCGCCGGCGCCAACCCCTGCCTCCAGGTGGGGTCTTCGTGCAGAGCTAGCGATAGCGAGCGCGAACGCGAATCCCCTCTCGACCCTACTATTGACAAAAAGAATATTTGCAGTTTTTGCAGATCCTTAGTGTCCGCACCTGCGACTTCCGCTCCATGCGTCCCGTAGGAGGCGAGTCCGCTGACAAATAGTTTGCGCGTGTCGGTACCTGCTCTTCGGAGCGCTGCCAACCTACGGTTGCGGGCCTGCAGTTTGTTGAGCCGCTGTTTAAGTACTGGGCGGCTCAATCTCCTGCAACGCAGATTTCCTACTCCTAGGTCCATACCTAAATTCTTGCCTGAGGCTGCCACTTGCCCTGTCCTAGGTCCCAGCGCTTTGGCTAGTTTGCCCTGCAGGCCCTCTGAGTTTGCCAAGGTGATTGACCTGCGATGCGCCACCGTGCAACCCAACTCATCTTCAATCACCTTGTTGAGCGATGCTGCCCCTTCGCGGAGTTTCGCTACGACAACATCAGGGTCCTTATGCGTGATGCCTAGTTGAAAATCATCGATAAAAAGCGACAGTGGAAGGAGCTTATGCTCAGCCTGCCACGTGTCAATCGGTTCAATAGTATAGACCTGCACTAGATACGTATTAAATGGGTCCCCCGCTGCTAGCCCCTGGCCAGGATGCCCTGCCAGTACTGTGGAACCCTCGTGGCTGACAAATCTTGGGGCTTGGTGCTGGTTCAGCACCACTGACAAGATTGTGAGCGGGAACTTGGTCGACTCTGCTCTCTGCCACAGGGTGTGGCGTCGCACGTGTTCATAGTAATCCGACATGTCCCAAATAATCGCCGCCGAGTGGGCCTCTTGCCCGGCTGCCTTGGCCGCTTCGGGCACCAGCGCCTGTTGAAAAACTAGTTCGGTGATGCTCCTCCCCTTTTGGTGACAAAGGAAAGGTCTCGGGTGGGCTGCCTCCCATGCTTT